GGACCTGGGTTTGGGTCTAACTAAATTAAATGAGTTTGGATCTGGATCAAAGGAATCCAACCCAAACCGTACCCATTGACATGCCTAATCTCATCTAATGTAATTTTTGTTTTCAGTACATAAAACTGGATCAATAGTGATTTTTCACTTATTCCCCTTGATAATTCAAACCTATGAATTGTCGATTACAGGTGAAACGTCTAACCAACTAGGTTACAATTTTATTATCATATTTAATGTAACGTATATGCTAGTTGGGATGCAACTACAAAGGTTTTTTTTTTTTTTGGGGTACCAAACTTGCTCTAAGAAACCACTTAATCCTTGTGCCTTCATCCATGTTGTTATTTTCGAAAAGTACTAAATAGCCAGGATAATTTTTGGGTACAAATTAAGTTTCTTTTCTACTATGCCCAAACCCAAAAAAAAAAAAATTTTCTTATTAACCACGAATCAAGTTAGCTTCTTACATTGATCTTTGGTGGTTTTTTTTTCCTTTTATACTTTGGGTTCATCTAGTGTAAGTAGTTCTCTTGTTTGCTTCGCGTATTGAACATGTTTCGCCTCCTAATTCGGAAAGGATCACTTTCTAATTTCAAGTTGACTATAAGTAGTCTTAATTTCACAATATGTATTTGTATAGCTTATTGTCATGAAATTATTGAGCACAAAATACTTTGATTCATAGTCAAAAACACACTCGTGACTCAAAAACACAACAACGATGATTGCTGAACAATGTTGAAAAGTTTAGTTGCTTTCTCTTTTCTAGTAATCTTTCGTTTCCTCCCGTCTTAAAATTTGATGCCAAAAATATTAACCTCCCAATGAAGAAGAACGAGTTGGGCATTGCCACATTCATATAAAAAGTTTTGGCTGCATTTTTTTTTTTTTTTTTGGTTTTTTGCTTGGACTAGGAATAAAACAGTTAGAATAACAAGTTTTTATGACATTACAGGTTGCAAACATGATACTTCTTAATCAGTGGAGAGTGCAAGTGCAGTAAAATTTTGATAAACAAATCTCATGGGGTATATATCCAACTATGTCTTTTGCAAATAATTAGTGATGGACAATATTCCAATTTATTGAGGCCACTTTTCACGTCCTAATATTCCTATTTGTTTAACATTATATAAAAGAGCTAATAAAAACATCTCCATGGGTTTCCAAAATATGAGGCCAAAAATAAGCGCATTTTATCCAATTCAAATAATCACGAACAAAAGTAGAGGTGCATAAACACAACAAGTGGAGCGGATAAATTATTTCCCTTATAATTTGCTAGGTATGTTGATGATGCAAAAACTTTTGAAATTTTTCAATATGGCTGAATATTTTGATTTGCAACTATTATTTGGAGTGATTGATGAAAAAGAAATGGTTATTGAGAGTATAAAGAACTTGAGACATAAATAAATAAATTAGCCTCAACTCCTTATTCATAAATTTTACATAATAAAACATGGAAAATTGTTCAAAACATCCTTTACATTTTGTAAACTGACTTTTTTCATCATTCACTTTTAAAAGTATAATTTTACGTCCCTTATAAATTCACATTAGTTAAATTTGATCCTTACCTAGGTTTTCGACTAATTTTTTTTTATCGGAATCTATCACGTTCCTTGCATGTGATCATTTTTAAAAAGCAAAAATGTCAAATCAAATTTTACATAACCCAATCCATAATCCCTCCCATTTTACAAAATGAATTTTTTCGTCCCTCACATTTCACAAAATGAATTTTTCTATTTCTCATATTTTACAAAATGAATTTTTTTATCCCTCATTGATCATGTGTCCGAATAGTTTTTTTTAAACCTATGTATATATTTATTTAATTTCATCTAAATAATATGAATATCATGTAATATATCTCTATTTGATTTCTCCTTAATGTAATGTTCAGGTAAAATCAAATAGATATATACATGAGTTTAAAAAAAAATTGTTAGTTTTGAACTCATGTTTATTTCTTTTTACTCGAAAATTGAAAACAAAGAAGACATTTAATCCTAAACATTATTGAGTATTTATATCGAATTAAATTTGGACAGAAAAATAAACAAAGGAAAAGTATGATAAAAGGAAGTGATTGGCACTTTGAAATCTTAAAACAATTACAATACAAATAATTCAACAGTTGGTCTTAAAAGTGTTGAGTAGAAATTTCAGATTTAAATTGCAATTTGTTATCATGACTATAGAATTCGAATTAGAACCCACTAATTAGATGATCTTATTGTACAACTCAATAAATGAATTATTACCACAAGAGAAAAGGCCACAAAGTCACAAACATTGAATAGGTTCGCATGGTAAAACGAAATAGATATATACATGAGTTTAAAACAAATTTGTTAGTTTTAAACTTATGTATATATCTATTGAATAGTATGTGTACAACTACAATTAGTCTAATTAGGTGAAATTAAATAGAAATATATTATATGTTATGCGTACTATTCAGGTAAAATCAAATAGATATATACATAGGTTAAAAAAAAATATTCATGTACATGGTCAATGAGGAATAAAAAAATTCATTTTGTGAAATGTGAGGGACTATGAATCGGATTATGTAAAATTTAATTTGATAATTTTACCTCTAAAAATAATCACATGCAAGGTAAGTGGTGAATTCTAACAAAAAACTAGTTGAAAATCTAGATATGGACCAAATTTGACTAATGTGAATTTGTAAAGTACATAAAATTACACTTTTAAAAGTAAGGAACGAAAAAGTCATTTTATAAAATGTGAAGGACATTTTGAATGATTTTCCCGACATGATTATACTAGTTGATCAATTAATTATAACAATTAAGGTGTGCATGTCAATACGGGTATGGGCCCGAAGTACACAAAATCAACCCCCTACCTCAACCCATATTATTTTATACGGTGTGCATTAAGATGTTAGATGGATACCAATGAAAAACACAATAATGAATTTGGATTGGATTTGACTAATCCCAACAATTTGACATGCGTAGACTTAAATTCGATTAAATCCATTTGCGTTTCTACGATTACCAATGGGAGATAATTTACGCGTTGACTCCACGTTTGATATAATTTCTTCTTGATTTTCTATTTTGTGAAAGAACCTAGTAAAAGATTGACCCACCAGTTGCCAAAATATGAGGCATAGGAAAAGGGATTTTCATCATTTTATAGGATCGATCTTTACCCATTAATTTCTTTGGGTCGACTTAGAACTCTATCTCACATCAATCTGTATTGCTAGAGAACCAAGCATATCTTTGGGTCGACAGAGAATCATGAGAAAAATTGTGTATATAGGGAATACAATATCTATTTATACATAAAAATATTTGCTATTATACTAAGTAAATCTCCTATAATTATGCTAAACAAATCTACTATAATCATGTTATGAATATGCTAGACAAATCTCCTATAATCATGCTAACAGTCCAATTGCCAAGTGCAAACATACTCAGTCAAGATGAGTTCTTCTGCACCATCTAAACATGGCTTCCGACAGGTTGTGGTTCCCATAGTTGATAATCGACAATTCATGGGTGCCGATCCCAAGAATCCCCATGCGGTAGAAGCTGTGCTGTTGTTTCGTCTAATGCAACTGAAGATGGGATGCTGCTGCTCGGAGGATCAAAACAATGTCTGATGGCGGGCTATCTTGAGATCCATACATACATGTATTAACTAACTATGGAGTCGCCTATTCTATTTACATTTTGTATTTTGGCTTTTAACGGAGAATCTGATTTTTGATGATTGTTCAAGTAGATGAGGGATACCTGATTTGCAGTTTCTGGATGTGATTCGCAAGTCAGTTTAGTCATTAGCCTTTGGTTTTTCGCAGTGGTCTATTGTTCTCGTAATACATTCGCACTTATCTAACTATGGTTTTTTCTTTCTTTTTTCCCCCTTAATAACACGATGAAGTATGTATGGCTACCATTGTGTAATATAAGATAAGGGTCCCATCTTTTGTTATCCTCTGTCTAATGATAAAGAGATTTGAGCTACAATCTTGTTTATAATCTGTTTCAACTTATCCCTTCTTTTTTTTCCACCCACAATCATCTGGTCTCCTCAGTCTTTATCTCTTTCCTTTCTGGTGCTTAATTTCTATGTACATGAGCATTGCAGCTTAATTTCTGTGGTCCGGTCCGGTCCGGTTTTCAAAACAGCCGACTGCAAAATGAGAATCTGTTGAAAGGGTCGACCAAAATTGTTCTGGATTTGATAGCAACTAGCAATCAAGAAAAAACAGCCGACTGCAGAGATAAAAGTGAAGAGGAACCGAGAAGCGAATAAAATTGTTTGGAGAAAGAGCGCTTTCTAGTGTGAAAATTAAGTAGGAAGGATCATGTATTAATACTAAATTCCGGGTCTTATATGCAAACCTGAAAGAGATAGTTAAGTAGTGGTCCTATGGTGGAAGAGAGCCATCAAAATTTGGGGCTTTTCGTAAAAATTATTGGAGGCTGCAAGGTACTTAGTTAGGAGCTTCCGGACGTAAATACTTTTGGACCGGCTAACACTTGGAAATACTTATTGGACCGGCTCACAATTGGGTAGACCCGATCTTCAAATACCTAATAATGATTCAAATTGTGCCACACCACCGTCTTGTCAAATAGTGTGGCGCAACCTGAATCATTGGATTTACAAAGATCAAGTTTTGGCCTATTAGACCTAAACTTGGGTAATATTACGACCTCCCAATGGTTCAATTTTTTCCTTGGGTAATATTTATTATGTCTTCAAATACGACCTCCCAATGGCAAGGCATCAATTTCCTCCTTATTCACACCACATGCACACGACAGTTACGAAAATACATTCACCAATATATTATAGACACAGGTAAATTCAGAGACACTGACGGATGTAATGTAATGTAATAAGCTTGAAATTTTCAGAAATCACTTTTTCTGCCCCCCCATTAACATGTATAACACGTTACATGAATCTTGACTATTCTTGTAATTTGGTGAAAGAAGTAAACAAAAAATAAAAAGGGTACCATATTTCTAAAATTTAAACACCACTTTCAAGTCTTTAAACTTTCCAGTTGCAAACAAACTTCCATTTGACCCACAGCTTGGACGTGGGTTGGTGACTGAGATGAAGTTTCTCCATCGGATTATGCAACGCAGATTCAGCAAGGATGTGGTTTGCATGTTTTATGCTAATGCTGCAGAGGGGGCTATGCTATTGCCAGGAGGGCCAACTCAGTGTGCAACTACATAATAAAGAAAAACTGGTAACACAATTTCTATACTTATTTTTGCTTTCCCTGTCCTGGAATTTGATTCCAGAATTGCTAAGTTTCATTTCACTTCCAAGTCTTTGGTTTGCTTGCGATGAAGAAATGTTTACTAGTTTGATAACCAGAAAGGGAAAACGGAAATACCCGAGAAGAAAGGACTGAAAATCATCCAGCTTCATCGATAATTACTTGCAATAAAAAGACATTAATTCACATACTCATAAGTTTTCCTCCCTTCATCAGACTTGCACGAGAAACAGGACCGCCCAAAGTATCAAGCACAGGTTTTGTTTCCTCCACGGCCTCCGTAAAGCAGTATACAGGAGCTTGCCACTCGGGGTCTTCAAGGACACTACCAACCTCAAATGTCATCACATGTGCTACCATTCCTACAGCAATTTCGACCACCACACATATAACAACTATATAAAACAAAAAGGGTGCAAAAGTCCAAGATGTTGAGACACCTTTAAACTGGAGCAACAGATGCTTGTGTATAAACCTTTCTAATTTTCGCTAATATTTACATTAATTCCACGCGGCTACATTAAATGCTTGTGCATTCCTAGAATAATGAATGATCATGCGCACATTACGAGCATCTGAAGCATCAATCTCCCCAAAACCAGGTCCACACGAGTTTACCCTTTTGGGGGGGGTGGTGGAACCCAAGGGAAGAAATGCAACAGTTTTTCAAGGTTAGAAATATGACCGTCACCAATTCAGATTTTATGCAAAGCTAGACTAATAATAACACATCTTACAAGCTTCATTGATACAGAATTAAGAAGAATAACAAAAGTCATTTACCTGTGAAGAAAGCCCAATAAACAGGTCTTTTGGTGGCCACATCCTCATAGTACCAAATGAAATCAACCTTCTCCCACACATTACAGAGAAAACCGTCCATGTATTTCTGACCAAGATATGTTGCACCATCGAGCCAATTTGGTCTTAGAATTCCCACTGGGAAATGCAATACTCTGCATTCTTTGTTGGAGTCCAAGGTGTAAATGTAAGAGGTGCCATTGTCCCATTCCAAATCATAAAGAAGCTTTCCCAGCTGGTACTGAATGATGTTGAAGTTTCTGCCTCCTGGCCAGTCATACCACAGGTCAACCTTTTGTAGAGATCCCTCACTGTTATTCACGAAAAGAATTGAGTGGAATTGTTCTGGCCATGGGACTGGAATTGGGTCTGTAGATTCTGAGGCAATCAAGGAAAAGCAGAGGGAGGATTCAGAGAGAAGAGTGGTCAAGAAGTAGTAGAAAATGAACTTGTTAGGAGAGAGCTTAGGCATTTTCTTCCCCCCCTTCTCTTTCTCAGATGTCAGTTTTCTACTGAACTTCAAAGACTCCGTAGACTGGAATGTGCAACGGTCACGGTCCTCAGGGAGAGTAGGAAAAGGAAGAGGTGAGAAAGGGGCTTTAATGTTGATAAGGTTTTTCACACAAATGAGAGATTTGTCTTGTGTAAATAATTCGCCTGCGTTCTTTTATGTGGGCCGCATAACATAAGGTAGTCAGTCAGTCGGTAGATATATTTCGGTTTGTCCATTTTTTGACAGACACTACTGTTTGCCCGCATCCTCTGCGTTCTTCGTTTAATGCAGCAAAAGAAACATGGGATTCCTAGTGCCTTGCGAGCTTAATTATGCTATCAATGATTTCTTTTACAAAAGTAGAAATGGGAATTTTAGTAAATTATCAGTTATTTATGCTTAAGCATCAATGGCTTCCCTGACAAAAGTCGGGATGGACGCATACCGATGTTTCAACTTGCCCGCTTCCGCGACGTCCAAACTCTTTTTTCTTGCTCCAAAGTGGCTCTGCATCGCAGCAGTGTTGGGTAGGTAACTTGAGAAAATTCTCCCGTCACTCGTGTAAAAGTCAGTAAAACTTTTCAATGGAACCAGTGGCTAACTTGTTTGACACCCACAATACAAATTGCTGCATCATGTAGAAGACGATAAAGGCATAGCTTGTCATGGAATGCTATTACGTTTTGTACTTGTTACAGCGTGTGTTTCAAATCTAATACAGTCTCCCTCATGCACAGCCTTATCACAAAGTAAAAAACACAGTACTAATAACATGATTTATTTTAGGTAAATATATTCTAGTGTCGCTCTATGCTACAGCCGGCATGACAGAGAACGGCAACAGCTGGCCCTTCAGGATCAAATATCGTTACTGATTCCCCACCGCTGGGCCATCACGTCCTTTCTTGAAATCATCCCACCCCCTCACCCATGGCTGCCCAGGAGTTGCTCTCGTCTCTGGAGAAGCATGGCTGTTCAGATTGTTCACTACCCTTTTCTGCACATCAGCAAAAACCTGCAACCACAGTTTTAGGGCGTCAGAGTGCAATAAATGGCATTAAAGAATAAAACCAAAACAAACAACTTTCAGTTTTAACTCACAGGATTCATTCTTACTGCCTCTGGAGGTTGCCCCTGACCAGTCAACCACTTCCATAAGTCCGGATTTTCCTGCCAATACATATGGAAACAACAATGAAGAGGGGAGCATAGTCAACTAAATCAAGTCAAAGTGGCTATCCAAAACCATAAAAAAAAAAAATATATATATATATAGTATTAATTTGAGCCAGACGAATCAATTATCAGTGCTTTGTTTGTCAGAGACCAGAAGCTCAAGAAAGATGAGCACGTAATTAAAATGGCAGAAACTGTAAATCCTGGGCCAGGTCAGACATTACGTGTCTCATAAGACGGAAACCTAAACTGACGTGTGCTATCATGCATACCATATACGCTGAGCAACATTTGCGATATCCTAGAATGAAACAGCCAAGTCATCCAGTGGTAGGATGAACATTTCAGACGAGTCAAACCAATAAGATATCCAGACCAACAAAATGCCACCTTATAACAAACATGAAAACTAGAAGACGAGGCTTAATACAACTTAATTTCAATCAAATGGTGAAGGGCCTGTAAAGTTCCAATCATTTGAGGAAAAGTGAGATTGAACGGTTGAGAAGCAGAAAAGTCAAGGACAAACGAAGATACCAAGTCAAGGACATGAACAAGGGCTTTAATTCCATTTTCATCCATAGAATGAATATGATCTTCAACCCATCTCCCCAGAATCAAATCCAGCTCCAGGAACCCTCTTTGTCTGCTCCTGTAGAGCAGCCTAAAATTTAGCAAAGAGTATCAGTGAAGCTGGACTACACAAAAGAAAAATCAAATGGTAAAAAGGACAAAATAAACAAAAGGTATAATCAATACACAACAGAATACCTATTAAACAACCGCCTCTTGCTTTCTTCATTGGAAAGATCAATATTCAGTGCCTGATTTGAAGAATAAAAACATGGCAATGAACCAAGAATTGGCCTAAAAGAGCAGAAACAAAAATGATCAAATAAAAAGTAAGCATATAGATATAGATAAAACAATATTGTATGAGGTCTCTAACCTGTAAATATTGTGAGAGGACATTGTGGAGGTGGCAATTGAGGTCTGATTCGAGGAATTAAGAATGCGAGGAATGGTGAAAAGAAGAGCCCTTCTCAAATTTGCCATCTTGGTAAAGGCTGCATATTGGCATGTCCAATTTTCAGAACTAAATTAGAAATCAGATGCTATATCAAGTTATTGTATGATTTAAAAACGACACCCACTAACTCCCATCATTTGGCAAATAGTACTTCTAGTTGCACATTTCCTTGTAAGGGTCACAATAGACTGCTGATCTTGAGAACCCTAGAGAACTGGAATTACATGCAACAACTACCATTTCTAAATCTACATCTAACCTAATCTGCATTTTTGTTTCACTCAATTCTGGATTAGAGTTGCATCAAACCAAATATCATCATATAGCACTATCATTTACATTATTAAAAAGCGTTCCTTTCTAAACTCCTTTCACATACAAGCTGCAAATTTGCTTCCAAACCTACTGCAGCTAAAAGGAGCCTATATGAAGTATCCTTTTCCTTCCCATTCAGTATAGTAGATTTACACAATAAACGCATCTAAGCTCAAATTCGCAATAAACAACTATGACAAATTACAAAGATAAAATTATCCCCTCTACAGCATTTTCCTTCTAGGCTATTGTAAATGAATGCTACCAGAAGCCCAAAATTAATATGTAAATCACAACATCAAAATGAACTGAAAAAGAAAAACTTGTACAGTAAAGATCATTGCTTTACTATCAAGAATAGAAACCAATCCTAGCAAAACTCAAAATTTAATAAGGAGAGAGAGAGAGAGAGAGTGTGTGTGTGTGTGTGTGTGGAAAATACAACAAAATGGACAGAACAATCATATCAGTTTAGAACCTCCAACTCCGGCAGGATTCTAAAACTCATCGCGATATTCAAAAATTCAACCGGTAAAATCAAGACATGGATGGTGGTTGATGGAAAGAGGGAACAAAACCGTAATTTCTGGTATGAAATTACCTCAGACGACGCGACTTTGAAAATGTTGGAATGCTTGGGGTTCCTAAATCTTCATCCCAAAAAAAAAGTTCAATGACAAAAAGCTTCAAAAAAAGGGTCAGAAATATAATCTTAGGCCTAACAACCAACTACTAACCAAAAATTGGAAAGGAGTTTAAACTTACATCTTGGGCCTCCGTGTAGAACCTTCTGCTTGAGGTTCTAAAGCAAGAGAAGTCAGGGAGTGGATGATTAATTTCTGTAATTCTCTGAATCTGGAGGAAATTGAAATTGGGTTCTTACCTACTGCTCTTTTGAAGGATAAAGAATTCTAAGTTTTGGGATGCTATTAACGATCACCGACGGAAATTGGGATTTTTTTTTTGTTTTTATTTATTTTGCATCGTACATTTGGGTAAAGTGCGTATGCGGTGTTAGCGTGGCTTTGTAATGTCCAGTCCGCCTGGTTTCCCGGGAAAACGCGCAAATTCCTCTCGCAGCTCACTCAATTGCTCATTCGAGCTGAAGCTGTCAAACTTTAAATTAATGCATTCGACTCAAAAGTTTGTGAGCTTTGCAAAATTTTCACATACACATGTATATTTGATAGCGAAACTATAAAAATCTTTATTACTATTATTATTATAGAATTTGTGCTCGACTCAAGTTTAAATTCGTTTTATTTTCTTGAGTGAGTTCGAGCTCTTTAAAATTTTTTTAAGTGAGTTTGAATATAATATTCGTCAAATTCGAGCCGAGTCAAAATTGAATTCGATGTTATTGACTCGACTTATTGCTATCTCTGGTGATTATTATATTAAATTATTTTTTTAATCAAGAGTGTTTTTACAAGAATATATTGGTTCAAAGGGACATTAATTGTTAATGGATGTTAGTAAAAACTGTCTTGTTGGGATTGCTTGTTTCTGTCGGAAAATATTGTCGTTTTCCGTGATCACATTTCTCTATCACCTTTTTCCCTCATTTAAAATATTTTTTTCATGAAAAATGACGGAAAATGCAATCCAAACACATTGCTTTCTGTGGTGCATTCCTGTGCCTGTTGAATGTAGATGATTTAACAGGAGAAGAAATGACAATAATGGGTAGTAAAAGTACAATGGTGATCTGTTGAGTAGATCAACTCAATGCATCACTTTTAACTCCAATTTTGCATGGCAATACTTTTTTTTTAAAATCAAATTTCCTTCCTCCTAATATACCAACCAAGAAATTACGCATAATTTAACTGTAACATGGTGAGCACATATTGTGTCACTGGACAAATATTCCAGAGGAATCATATTATTGTAACAGGCGAATAAAAAAAAATTCATAGTGAGGATACACTATTCGAACCTCGAGTATTTGCCATTGCATTTACTTGTTGAGCTGATTGGTTTCTAAAGCAAAACATGGGCAAAGGAAAAGAAACTTGCACAACTGAAAAGAAAACCTATTAGTGCTAGATTGAAATTGTCTTGCATTTCCTTCGGCTCTTGCCTCCATCCATCGCCATGTTGCCCGAGTTAGGTTGGTATGCGACCAAAAATCTCTATGACAGCCCGGTAGATTCTTTACTCCAACAGCTAGCTAAGTTGGAAACACTGCAGTTTCAAAGGCAAATCCTAGCACAAGTCTCTGAACGGATATACTTTCCTTCTGTTGTTTCTGGTTACGCCTGGTCTTGGCCAAACACAAAGTAGACTTTAACTCAAATTCAACAACAATAGTCAATCACAAGTTTAGAAATTGATTTCACGTCTCTCTGCAAAAAACTTGCCGCTTACAGACAGCTCAGGGAGTAGTGCAAGCCAAACTGCTGTATCAGCCCCATCTTCAGGAGGAATATGCCCAGCCCAGCCAGTCATGGCAGTCTTAACCCATCCTGGGCAATAGCAATTGATGTATATTTTATGACCCTCAGGCCGATCGGACAGAATTCTCGCCATTAGCCTTGTGTAGGCATTAACTGCTAGCTTTGACAACGAGTAGTCTGTATATACCTGCGGCCATCCGCCAGATTCCCAAGTACCATCTTTGACTTGTTCCAAAAATTTGTTCATAGTGCCATCAATTAATTCCTCAGACAACGAGCCCACATCTTCCAGTTGCGCTCTCAACGTAAGATTTCCAATTCTCTAGCAGAAAATAAGCAAACACTTGAATGTTTGATGCAGGAAAATGTATTTGTAAATTAGAAAATCAAGAATAATGTGACTAAAAAGAAGGTGATCTCATAGAATTCTCACACGATTTCTCAACTCAAAGGATATATTCCACAATCTCTTGTGGTTATTTACTGCTACCATGTGTAGGTATTTAACCACTTGATTGGTGGATTATCCAGAATTGCACAGATTGCCAAGGAACTCATATCAAGAAGCAGACTAAGCTGCTTGACTTGATAATGAATGAAATAGAGAACAGCAATCTTTTTTTTTTTCCCTTCCTGCAGGGGTTTTGGGGGCTGAAGTCAAATGGAAGGGAAACATAACTTTAGGCTACAGTAACAACAGAAAAACATTAAGAAATACATATTCTAACAAAAAACGCAAGTCAGAGATTATGTGAGAAGACACACAGAATGAAAAGGATTCCAATTTCCTATTTAAGTTTAGAACAGCAGAAAAAGAAGCACATATGCTTTGCCACTACTTGTGGAGGAATATACCTTCCAACAAGTATCACAATTATCATTGTGCATGCTACAGGTACCTCTGTTATTTTGGCCTTAAACATTACATTCATCAAAGCAAAACAAATAGATGTTTTTGGGACCAAAATCATTCCCTGGATCCCAAAGAGGTACGTACATAACCCAAATTTATTTATTACGGATAGCACAATTACCCAATCAAACAAGTTAACAGGTAAGAAACAAAAGTTCAAGACAGATTTCAGAAAACATGAATGCAATACAAATAGAAATACATGGAAGTATCAAAGTATTACTTACATTTCGTCGGCCGTTTAACCTTCCCAAACGTGAGGTGACACTAACAATACGAGCACCTGAAGCTGAAGGCCTAAGTAATGGAATCATAGCTTTAATCATGCTTTTGGTGCCAAAGTAGTTTGTCTCAATAACCTTTTCAGCATGTTCAACTGAGTTTTCTGACCCAATATTGATATTAATTCCTGCATTGTTTACCTACAAATTCACGTTAACAACTGAAAAGTAGCTTAGCTTCAATCAGAGAGGATATGACAACAGTAAGGTAGAGTGAGAACACTTTAATAGATAATCAGCCTTCTTCTTATCTATAATCCCTTATTTTCTTTTCTTCTTTCTCTTTTCTTTCCTCCCTTCGTCCTTGATGAAATTAATATGTCACATGCATCAATTTTAGCATAAGTACGTATTGAAATGGGTTCCATCATACCAGTATATCCAAGCCGCCATAATTTTGTTGTATCCATTCAGTAAATGTCTCAATTGATGAAGGATTCACTATGTCCAATTGATGAAAGACCACATTTAGACCCCCTTCTTGCAAGACCTTTGCTGCCTCTTCACCAACACCAGTCTCTCGTGATGTGAGAATGACGGTCAATCCATGCATTGCAAGTTGGTGTGCAATCTCAAAACCAATTCCCCGATTGGCACCCGTAACCACAGCAACAGTATCAGAAGACCACCATCTGAAATACCAACATTTACAGATCTTATGTTCAAAGCTTTTTTCTCTAAGAAATGTATTTTCCGATGTTGTAATTTGTCTATAGTTCCACACACACTCACGGAAGTTGTTGCAAGTGAGGAATAGGCCTAACTAGATAAATTATGCAAAAGGATAACTTAATAGATGACCTGATACTGTGATCAAGAAAAACATTTTTGTTCATTAAAACGTCACAAATTAATAGTGGCTTTATCCAGTGATAACATAGTAATGGAGTTAGTTTAGTGGAGTTCATGCACTTAATAAGTGAACTGAAATCTACTCCCAGATTCATGGTTAGGAAGTCTGTGTTTTTAACTACTTCAGAATTATCTAGCATTTGATTCTCTTTATTAAATTGTTCAAATTTACAAATAGTTTAACACTTCTCATGTACAAGTCAGATTCATAAGCAATGGACATGAGACATATCAATGAACAAACACTTTATCCATGGAAAATAGAAAGTATTAAATGAGTTAAACAGCTGCCTGTATATTCTAGCCATGTCTATAGCCAAAATGCGACCATGTAAAAACATAGTCAATGACATATGACTAACTTCATAATCTTTAAACATCCTTCCAGTTATGGACAGGAGATTAGCATACCTCTACTAATTCAAAAGAAAACTGGCATTTCATGCATACATAATTATTCAAGCCATAATTTAGAGGCTAAAATGGGTCAATCAAACTATGCTTTTAAGCGCCATAATTCCAGCATTAACCTTACTGCGTCTAAATACCGTGGCATTCATCCAACCCTACAAAAGTTCCCATTTGACACCCCAAATCCTCATTCAAACTGCATTATCCTAAAACCTCCCCAACCGCTCTTAATAAGATATGCATTAGATTGAAACAATGAGCTAATCAATTATAAATCTCAACCTAAAGAGAACGCACCGAGAACAACAGAAGATAAAAGGAAAGAGAAAATAGAATACCATGTTCAACCTGAATCCTAATGCTTTTGTAATGTATGAAATGCTGCAATATGCAATCAGCATGCATATCAGAAGGAGCCCATTATCGAAATCCAAGTAAATTTACATCCTCAATCAAGCAGATAAAGAAAATTAACCCGTTTTAGCTTGAACAGATTATGTAATTTCAAGGGCATACAGATTTACAACGATCAATTATTCAGGATTTCTAACAGATACATGAAAGCAGAAGAAATTGCTCCAAGAGTAACTAAAAGAATTACCTTTGATGATCGGAATAGGGAATGGTGCGGAGAAGAGAGATCTCTTGGCGCCTCATTTCTCTTTTCTCCCTTGCCCTTTCTTTTTTATCCATCATTGTAATTCTGGATTCAAGGCTCTGGGCTCTTGGGATTCGTTTGCTCTAGCTTTTCACTCAATTTTTCTTTCTTTAAATTTGTGTTTCTTTTCCTTTTCGTCTCAGATTTTCTTTTTTTTTTTTTTCCTTGGATTGAGATAGAAATGGAGGAGTGCATAAAAGAACAGAAGCTGCGGTTTTTGTTCCCGGCATATTGGGAGCAGACCCTTAGACTCCGCCTCTTTCTTAAACAGCCAACAACTGCCTCGTCATTCTCCTACTTGGTCAATCTTCATAATCTTTTGGGATAATTTCAGAAACGTCCCTTGAGGTTTTTAACAATTTCATTTAGCTCCCTCAAGGTTTTTAAAATTATACATACCTCCATAATTATTTAAAATGACAATACTACCCTTAAATATTTTAATAAAATTCCCTTGTTTGGTATGCTTATATTTAAAATGACTTTTAAAATTATTTTTTCATTCTTTGTCCTTCTTATTCCTTTTTATTTTAATTTTTTATCAATAAAACTGTAGAACTACTGC